TTTTTTTCCATATCTTTGATTATCTGCCATTTTTTCATTTTAAATGAAGTTTATTTGTGTCCTCCCTTCTTTTGATTTATTTACTTTTTTCAGGATCCAATTTTTTAAAAATTACTCTTCAATTCTATTTTTCTGTCTCATCAAGTTATGCTTGCACATTTATTAATACCATTCCCATACTTTCCTTAGGTTTCTCGTGTTTTTCTTCTAATGGCTTGAGTTGCACACTCTCTTAACTTATTTTGTTTTTTCTTCATTCTTAATGAAAGTGGCGTTAAATGATAGATTTTGATATCATCATCATTATCATTATTACCCAGTCACTTGACCAAGGAAGCATGTCCCAACTGGGTTTTCTTGTCAAAGAGAGAAAGCATTCTGACCTTGGGAAAGTGTTTTGTGTGTATTTTCCTCAACTGCCGTCCCAGGCTGCGTCCTCTCTTTGTCCTGGAGCTATGGCACAGGAGCAGCCTCACCTGTCACTCTGTGTGTCTCTCAGAGCACAGTCATCTCGCAGGTTCACCGTGGGCAGGCTCGGGTTGCTGGACTATCTTTCTGTGACAATTGACATAGAGGCCATGTCATTTGTTACAGATTCTTGTATCCTTGAGTCAGAAAATCCAGTCTTTGTCAGGGAAGCTATCAGTCCTGGACTATGCTTTTATTAGCTGCTGAGCTGTGGCTGTAGGTGGACCCCAGGTGACTGTAGTGAGAGGCGGGGATGTGCATGCTGCTCCAGGACTAGAGAACTACGGCACAGAGTTACTGCGGAGCCTCAGTGAACGTTCATCCCCAGCAGAGGAGCAAAGCTGGGGCCTGGCTTCACACTCAACCAAAATGGAAGCTGCACCGGGTACTGGGACTTGTCCTGATGGAATCTGTGATCCCAGATGACACATACCCTAAAAGCTGGCCCTGCTTATGGAAGACATAAGGAGGGAAAGACTCACTCCTTCAGTGAATTCTTTGTTCAACTCAGAGGAGTTTCAGGGAGTCACATATTGAGGAAGGGACTTTTGGAAGAAAAATGGCATGTTCTGACGGCACCTCTAGGTCTCCAATGCCCAATTCAGACCATCTTTCCTTAGGACCTCCTGCGTTCTCTGTTGTACCTGCAGTCACAGAGGCTCAGCACAGAAGTAAGGCCATGTGTGGGCATTCAGGCTGTGTTACCCTTTCCTGCTTAGTATCTCCTGGCTCAGCTGAACATCCCATTCTGACTTTTGTCTCTACCACTGAATTTTTCTACAGAATTCTTTCTGGCCTGACCCCATGAATCAGTTTCTGATAAAACGGGGCACACATCAGTTCCTTTCTAATTCGCATATTAAGATCGGCCAGGAAAGAGCCTGCTGCTATTGAAAGTGACAGTGGGAGAGATAAAAGTCTCGAGGAGCTGTTATAGACTGAGGATTTAATGAACTGAAGCTCACACAATGCAGGAGAGATGGGCAAGTAGACTGCCAGTGTCTCACTTCGCTTATGCAGACTCTCACCCATTGAGTAATGGAGAAAATCTAACTGTCTTCATCTCCTCTCTACCTATTGCCTTCCACACAGTCTCGAGAAGAAAGAGAAAACTTTGCACGTAGTTGTTGTCGTAGCAGAGGGAAACGTGTTACGACCCCAGTTACTAATCAGGGCTGTGTCAGGACAGAGAGGAATGATATCCTATTTCGTCTGCGCAAGGAGAAATAGCTGTAAAGAACATGATGTTTACAACCTTAGAGAGATGTGGACTAGATCTAGGACAACAAATTAGTCAAGGTTAGAGAAGGTTGTGCCAGATTCTCTCCATTAAGTCTGTTGCCCAGTATTCAACAGGATCAGGAGAATATCTGTCTATGTGACTAGACATCTGAACAGATGATACGTATTCTATTGTTACAAAGCTTTTCTCCCCGCTATCTCCCTTCCCCTCTACCTTCTTCCACCCTGCCCATTCTTTGCTCCCGATACATGTGTGCAAGATAATTCACCAGTGGTATTGTAAATTGAAAATACCTGGCTTGAATCTAAATCCAGGGATATTCAGAATGCAGTTTACTCTCTATAATGTACTAGATGTGTGATCATGGACAAAATCATTGTGTTTTCTGGGCCTCCAATTTTTATCTATAAGAATTTATTGTGTTTATACTGTGGTAGAATATGAGTTAAGCCCTTGATAGATATTTTCTTATTTGATCATTAGAACAACTTCTGAAGAGATTATTATTATCCCAGTATACAGATGATAACACTGAGGTTTAAAATGTTTATTAACTTTTTTACTGTAGTTCAATTGATGGCCGACTTGAAAACTGGACACATGTCTATCCAATCTATAAACCTACCTTCTTAGATGACTTATAATACTGTTTTACTTAACAGGGATTATTTCTACTTTCCATGTTTTGATTATAATTGAATTACATATATCTGCCAATAGTCTTGCATAATACATGCTGCATAGTAAATACACAACTATGAAACACCAAGAAAAAAAGTTGAAGAGGGTAGACAGGGCAGGAAAGTAGAAAATGATTTGAACTGCTCATAGTAAAGATTCTCCATGAGATGGAGCTCGTAGAATTGACTTTTCTGTTTTCTTTGTAGCTTCTATATAAAAACCAATATTTTAAAAGCTAATAGACTTTATTTTTTTAGAGCAGGTTGTTTTTTAGGTTTACAGAAAAATTGAGCAGAAAGTACAGAGAGTTCCCATATACCCCATATACACCCACAGAAAAAATATTGATTTTCAAACTCTTACAGACCAAATATAATACAGAAAAGCTTATTTTTTTTTATTTTGTCATGTTCTATAATGCTTCTGACAATTAAATGAGATGCCACCATGTTGTTATGCTGTTATACTGAACACATCAAGCAAAAAGTAAAGAGAAGAGTGGGCACACTGCAATGGAGAACAGCTACGTACTCCTCACATCCACTCCATTCTGCACCTATGGGCTCTAAGGATGCTTGTCCCAGCTAACTTGGGGCCTAGCCTGAGTCATGGTTTCCCCTCTGAGCCTTATTTGTTTCTAGGCTTGACCCACCACATGACTCGGAGATTCTTGCACCTGTCCCGTCAAAGGCTAAGGGAAGGCACAGTGACATAGCTCCATGTGAGTTAGTGATGTCCCACCTTGAGTGAAAATATGTAGAAGTATTTTAGGATACCCCATAATGTTCTGTTGTAATTCATCATGTGTATAACAGCATTCATTTTGTGGCAGATCATCTTCATAACTGGTCATTTTCAAAATGATAAAGGAATAAAGTTTTCCTGTACCATCTCTGAAATCATTACTGTAACAGGAAGGCTCATCACCTGCTCCAGAACTGTAGCATCTGATGTGAGTAGAAGTGATCTCCATTTAATCACTGAGCACACGAAAGCAACATAAGTTGTAAAAGGCACATTTTCTAGCTGGATACCTGGTGCAGTAATAGGAGAAACTGCTCTAGCTTGCCTGAACTCAATACAGACTACGGTTTCCTGGATTGCTGAGATTTTTCTTTTCTGTGTAGGACATCATCACCTGAGACACACCCAAGAAGGAGATCAGATTATGGATTAGAAGCTTTTTTCTTTTTCTAACGCAAACATTTACTGTTATCAATTTCCTTCTAAGCATTGCTGTCTGTTCTTTCAGTTGTTGTTTAGTGAAGTGTTCCATAAATATCAATAAGTTCATATTGGTTGATAGTGTTGTGCAAGTCTGCTATTTTCTTGCTGATTTCTGACTACTTATTTATTACTTATTGAGCACAAAGGGTTAGGGCCTCCAAATGCAATGGCAGATTTGTTTATTTTTCTTTTCAGTGTTAACAGTTTTACCTTCAAGCATTTTGAAGCTTTGTTGTTAGGTGCATACACATTAACATTGTTATGTCTTCTTAGTAAACTGACTCTTTTATAATTACGTAATATCCCTCTTTATTTCTGTAATATTTATTTATCTGAAGCCTAATTTGTCTGACATTAATATAGCCTCTCCAGATTAGTGTTGGCATGGATATCTTTTTCCATACTTTGACTTTTAATCTATCTATGTCATTATATTTAAAGTGGGTGTCAGAGTAATCCATTTGAGAGATGAGGGTGACTTGACCAAAGAGGTAGCAGTGGAGATAGTGGCAGTGGTTAGATTATGGGTTACTTTTTAAGATAGAGCCAATTGGATTTCTTGACAGATTAGATGTGTTAACCTTAAACAAATAAACGTCCACTTAAAATCTCCAGCAAAAATGGGTTTATTCAGGATTAGCAAAGAATTACAATTCGGAGTCTGCAACCATGGTGGGCCACATGCCAGTCCCTCAGCAGCAAGGGAAGAGAAACTCTTTTATAGAGGGGAGGAGGAAGTTGGGAGGGCCACTGTCAACAAAGAGTCCCTTGGATGAATTGAGAGCTTGATGTGTAGTGGCTTTTCATTGGCTGAGTTGTGACAGTGCCTCATTGGCTGAGCTTCTTACTGGTCAAAAAGAGAAAGTCTTTCTTCTTCCTGTTGAGCTGTGCTATAGACACAGGATGTGAAGTGTTCTCCCATTGGACTCTTGACTCCAAATTTAATGAGGTTTCCCTTTATTAATTTGATAGATGTAAACAGTGAGAGAAAAATAAGAGTCAAAGATAACTCTGAAGTTATGACCAGAGATACTGAAAGAATGGAGGTGCTGTCAATTGAAAAGCAAAAGTTAGTGGGAGGAGCATGTTGGAGGTGAGTTCAGAAGGTGAAACATGAGAAGTCAGTATTGGTCACATTAGATTAGAATCCTGAGCCTCTAGAATGCAGTATCTCCAAGAGGAAGGAGAATATCCATACAAGTTTCTCTGCATTAGGTCTTGTTCAACATGACCCAGTATAAAAGAAGGAATGCATTGAAGTTCCTGTTTATCCTCAGGAGCCAAGCACTCTCCAGGGCTCTGCTCCCCACCCTGCTCACTTTCATCACATGAGAGATCTTGCTAAAAACAGATCAGGCTGTATCCTTGAGTATCTGAAAACTCATGTCTCAGGAGGTTTGTGTTCAGCTCCCCCTGCAGTCTCAGTCACTGTGTCACTCAGAGCACAGAAGTACTCGGCCGAGTCACTCAAATGGGCTGATTGTTTCCACAGATGGAAGGAGGTATCACTCTTCTTAAATTCAGCCTGGAAACCTTTGATGCCTTTAACCAGGGTGGCCCCTGATAAGTACTTGAGGAGAAGCTGGAGGCCTTGGCTGGGGTACTGGACGTACCAGAAGAGATACACAGCCCCACCATAGGTATAGTTGCACCTCAGCTCGAGAGGGTCTCCTTCAGAGACAGCGGTGTGGTCATCAGGCTGGGTCACTGACTGGGCTCTGGTTCCTCCTGAAACATCAATGCTGAGTCAGTGAGACCAGGAGAGACAGACCTACCTGTAATGAGACACGGTCTCTATTCAGATTCCAGTTGGAACGATGTTCCTTCTATGGAGACAGGAGCATGGAATACACGTTACTTACTCACTGTGAAGAGCATTCCAAGCAGCAGAATGGTGATTGAGAACATGGCTGGGCAGAGAAGAAGCAGAGAGCTATATTCTGGAAGATCTTCCTAGAGGAGCAGGAAGGAATGTGCCAGAGTATGCTGAGTCCTTGCAACTGGGAAAATCTGAGATTCAAGAGATCCCTGTTTAGACAAAAAGATGCTTCCTTGACAATGGCTGCTCCTGGTGTTGAGCCTACTCAGAAGGTCTCCTCAGTGAGCTGTGAGTAAAGAAGCTCATACGACTGAAGTAGAACTTTAATAGAGGAGATAATTCCAGTTTATGCAACATCGCCCTCTGGAGGTCAATTATAGAAACAAACAGAGTCTTAATGTTTTTGTGCCCCATCTCCTTCCTACTCCTATCTAGGCTTGAATTTCTTAGCATTATCATCTGATGAGAGTGTTTTCAGAGATCTACTTATTAAGAAAATTTTTTAATCATATGAATTAAGTAGAATTATTTAAACCTATGAAGTAAATCATATTATCATCCTCATTTTATAAACAAGGAAACTGAAGCATGAAACGAAGGATGTAAATTGTCCAAGGTTACCAGTAAGTGACAACTGGAATTTGTTGCATTAGTATGATTCAAGAATTCACATTATTGACCACTGATAAATTAACACTATAGCCCTTTAGAGTAGATATTATCCTCACTTAATAGAAAGGAAATCAAGTCTTTTTAACAAGTTCAATAGTTTGTCCAAGGACACACAAGGACTAGAACTAATGCTGTTAGACTCCAAGCCCAGCTCCTCACCCATTATGTTATCTATGATATAGTACCACCCTTTAAGAGCAGATATAATTTCACCAAGACAAACACTCAGAGCAAAATTCAGAACAGAATAGAAACTAAAGACAATCCTCAAGGAACCCAAACACTAAATGGATGGGCAGTGGGAAAAGTATCACAGAAACCTCAATGAGCAGTCCAGAAAGGTAAGTGGCAAATCAGAAATGACTGGTGTCCTGAAAGAGAAGAGAAAACAAGTTTTAAGAAGGAAGGAATGTCCAACAGAGAAAATGCTGAAGAAATGTCTATCTAGTCAGATTATGACTAGAAAGTATCCACTGATTTTTAACAGCACAAAAATCATGATTTAAGTTTTTTCAGCAGAACCTAAACTGCAGTGGGATGAGGCATGCAGATGAGACAAGGAACAGAAAATCTGAATATAGAAATCTTTTTCCAGAGGTTCAACTCTGAAGGGGAGGAAAGAGACATGGTGTTAACTAGATAAGGATGTTGAAGTGGTAATAGTAGGCTTTATAAAGATTGGGATATATTTTACATGCTTTTGGAAGGATATATAAGCAATGGATCAAAGCTGTGAGGACAGATAGGATTGGAATACAGACCAGAGGCAGAAGGACCAAGTTTTGGGACAAGGAGGAACAGTTATTTCCAATTTTATTGGAATCAAGAAGGAAAAGATTGGTGTATATATCAGTAATTTTTCAGGGTGTGAAGGCATAAAGTTGAAACATCTTTAATTTCTAATAGAATCTTTTTTGTTCTTATGAATAGAAATTAAGTGCCTCCCGAGAGAGTGAATGGAGGAGGTTGGGGTTAGGGAGTCTGAGGAGTGTGAGAATTTTTGAAACAGTTCCTGTAGGAAATGACAATGGGAGGTAATTATAGAGACAAAGAATATTTTCCTGGCAACACTGTGGGTCTAGTTAGTGTTGATGATGACAATAGGTTTCAAAGACACCAATCTGCACCCCTGTGTGATTATCTTGAACTCTGCCTAACAGACAAAATATGCATTATAAGAAGGCAGATATTGAACCATGATTGGGAATTAATAAAATCACTGACAGGACACAGAATTGAGGAAAGAAGAATGAGACTAATGGCTAAAGACTGATTGAAGTAAGACCATGGAGTTTAGGTGTTTAGATAACAAAATAAAAGATAGGAAGCCTCTGAGAAGTAAGATGACAATAAAGGGATCAAGGGACTAACTGATCATATATCATCAAAGAACAAGTGCTGTAGAAGGAACTGAATGTAAGAATCTAAGGATGCAAGGTTTTAGACAGGACGTAAGATTTCAGAGGTGGAGCAGCATGTAACTTGGAGAATTATCATCAGATCTTTCTAGAGTGTGGTCATGGGAGTTAATGGCTAAAAGGGATTCTAATTAGTGGTCTTTAAGTTGATGAGTTCAGGCTTCTCTCTGAATTGTCCACGTGGACATTTAAGTTATGTGGTATTTTAGGTTACAGTGGAATCTTCTGAGCTGTGTTAAAGTCTTTAATATATAAAGGAGAGTGTCTAGTATTTACAAAGATGGTAGAGAAAAAGGGGTAGGGAAGAGTAGGGGTGGAAGACCTGAGCGTCAAAGGTGCACAGATCATAATCTGGGTTTTTTGGGAGATGGTGAGGAGAATGCTCTTCCTATCTCTAAATCTGAGGTGTTGTAGATGAGGGAGAATAAGGAGCAAGCACAAGAGAAAGAAACTGTATTCCAAACAGACTCAGGTTTCAGTGAAGGCGTGTAGAAGGAATTCTCACAGGGGCTATTGAATGTTTGTTTACAGTAGAATGGGCATCTAGAGGCCAACTTGGAAAGATTTCCAAGGGAAGATAAGAGGCAGTTATATCAATTTAGAAAATAGAACAGAGTCAAATTCCTTAGTGAATCATTTCTCTCTGGAAGGAGTCAATCACAGGTAGGACTGAAGGTGCTTCCAAGGGGTCCTAGCACAGAGGAACACAGCCACAGAAAGACCAGTTGGTGCTCAAGTCTCTCAGCAGATGTCATAAATCAGTCAATTCTGGCTATCCAGATGGATTCAGCTCTCATACACTACAGTACATTACACATTACATTATCTTCATGCGCTTCTATTTATAGACAGAAACACTAGAGAAAAGTATCTCTCTCATATTCAAAGCTCACGTGGCGGAGAGCACACGTGGAGCACGATCCCTGGGGCCCCACGATCACTGCACTCATTGCTTATAAATAATTGCCTGGGTCTCTGCAATGGAGGCTGTAATGTGCTGGAAGACTTTGGAATGTTTATTTTGGTTATTGTGAATCTTCTTTCTTGCATTCTTGTCTACTGATAATTTAAGTATCTGACCCCTCTACTTTCATTCTGAACATCATCCCTCTCTTATCTTCTCTTGCTTCCTTATCTAATACAGAGTCTAATACAATCATTCCAAAGCTCTTTTATAAATGCCATCAATCAGCACATTCCTCTCTTCCATTTCACTAGCCTGCCAGATCCAAAGACCAGATGAACTCTCTTACCCACTATTACAGCAAACTGGAACCATGCACTGAATTATGGGGTAATGTTAATTATGGCAAAGATATTGGCTAACAAATCTTATTGACCACGTAACATGCCACACTGCTATGGGAGCCCTTGAATGTTTAAGGCTGTGGCAGGTACTACTTGTCATCTACAGAGAGTGGATTTATTTCTTCACCCTTACTAACAGCATCCTGATGTTCTTTTAGTTAGTAATGTTCCTACATAAAAATACCTTCCCAGACTTTTGCAGCTTGGGGTCACCATATGCTCTGTTCTGATCAATAAGATGTAAGTATCCTGAGAGATTGTTCCTCCTTTCCTATTCAATAGATTTGTTTACTTTTCCTCATAATCCAAGATGTTGATAGCTAGTCTCCTTGGACTATGCACCAAAGGTCAAAAGTCCCACATTTGTATCCCAGATAGAGGGAAAAGACCATTATCATATTTCTCAGCTATGGTCTTTTTTTTTTTTTTAGAGAAACCTTTTTTTTCCCTCATTTTTTTTATTGATGTTTTAATAGTTTTTAACATTGTGAAATTTTGAGTTGTACATTTTTGTTTGTCTATCACCATATGTATGTCTCCCTTCACTCCTTGTGCCCACGCCCCACTCCCATTGCCCCTGGTAACCACAATACAGTTTTCTCTGTCCATGTGTTGGTTTATATTCCACATATGAGTGAGATCATACAGTGTTTGTCTTTCTCTTTCTGGCTTACTTCACTTAACG